ATATAAACTGGTGATCAAGCTTAATCCAAAGTTAGGATGATTCCTTTAGAACAAGGATGGCAAAAGATGACAGAAGTCTACTAATGTCATTTGTTGGTGTGAGAATTGGTGCCATGTAGACAGGGATTCTGAGGCCAGGGCCAACAGAATTCAATGCAGTGAATGACAGCTGTCTCTGTCTTGATCACAGGAATGGCTTGCAAGACTCTGTGTTTGCCATCCCTAACTCCAGGCTATTTTAGGTAAATTTCCCTGATCTCAGGCATCTCTAGAATAGACTGGATTACTAGTGAAGTTTGTACTCTTTGATAAAAGCTTGGAAGGGTATATTTTGTATTGCTTTTTGAGAGTGTATATGATAGATATGTTAATTGCAGCAAATCCTGGCAAATCTGATACCTCTGTCTTCCATCATTCTGATTTTTGATTCTGTATTTTCTTTTGATTTATTTCATTTTATTAGCTCCCCCATTTTTAGTTAATCTCTCATCTCATCGAATTGAACACCTTAATTACAAGTTAGGAGCATGATTCTGAAAGCAGGAGAATTTGCCAAGTAATTCATGTGTTAGCATAGCCATATTACATATTCATAATATGTAAGTTGTCAGCAATAAACTATCATTATTTATTTTTAGCAAACATTGATATAAATTGTAGTATTGAGGAGGGAATTGATAATGTAAAAGTTCATTTCAAGGGAAAGCAGTTCCAAAATTAAATGCTATAATATTTAGTGATTTTTTTCCCTTTAGGAATAAGTGACACACTACCTAATTGTTCTAATCCATGTCTTACTATCTTAAAAACACAGTTCATCTATTGGGGGAAAATTGCCTGATAGCTACTGCCTCTGCTACTTTATTTAATTCATCTATTAAATTTTTTCTTTCTTTTTTTTTTTTTTTGTGGTACTGGGGCTCGAACATAGAGCCTTCACTTTTTTTTTTTTTTTTTGCTTTTAGGTTTTTTTTTTAAATTCATTTATTCATATGTGCGTACATTATTTTGGGAGCCTTCACGTTGAGCCACTCCACAAGCCCTTTCTTTGTGAAGGGTTTTTTCAAGATATGGTCTCACAAACTATTTACCCAGGCTGGCTTCGAACCACAATCCTCCTGATCTCTGCCTCCTGAGTAGCTAGGATTACAGGTGTGAGCCACCAGTGCCCAGCTGGTTTCCTAACTTCTTTAAGCCTCAGACCTTACATCTGTAAAACAGGCTTTCAAATACCACCATCTCCAGATGTTGTTATGAGAATTTGTTATATTAGCACTATTTCTGTGTTTTCATTTTCATTTTAAGTTTTTAAAAGAATGACAATAAAATTAATAGAGAAGAAAGAAAGCAGTTTTAAACCCTTGGTATTAGTTCTTTGTAACCTGTTGTAATCAGTGTTGTTATTAAACTATTATTGATGCTTTTTTATTTTTTTTCAGCACTGGAGATCAAACCCAGGACCATGCACATGCTAAGCATAGCTCTCAACCACTAAGCCACATGCCCATCCCCTTTTTAAATGGTTTTTTTTTCCCATCCCCTTTTTAAAGGTTTTTTTTTAAAGCAGTTCAGACCTAACAAGCACAAGGTCCTGAGTTCAAACCCCAGTAACACCAATAAATATATAACAAAAAGCAGTTGTGAGACTGATGTTTTAAACGTATAAATACATAGAAAACTCTAACAAAAAGGAAAGGTGGTTCACTCAGTTATGGGATTACTACTTAGTTTTATATTCTGTTACATACTTTTCTGCATCTTCTAACAATTGTCTAGTATGCTGCTTTTAGGGTCTTAATTAGAAAAAGAAGTTTTAGTAAATTTTTTAAAAATGATATTGAAAGCTTCTCTGGTAGTGCTAGCAATCGAACTGATACTGATAATGTGTTTGCTTTGGTAACATTACTACTTCCAGTATTTTTGTTTGTTGTGTAATTTTTTACACACTAAAGTGTACTCTGGGCATTTTCACTTTTTAGTACAGCCAGTCTACATTGTGAAGATGTAACAAAATTTTTTAAAGATACATTAACATAAGTGCTGTAAGTCAAGGTAAACTATTAAACCCATTCCTTTATAGTAAAAATTTAGGAAGTGTGAATCTTAGGACCAGAAGGAATTGCTAGTGCAGACTTCAGTTCTTTTCTTTCTCTACATAGGACTGTTACTAGGAATCCTCTACTTTGCTATTTTTCTATGCTTTTTATTAGTGCATATTATTTGTACAATTGTGGGGGGGTTCACTGTGATATTTCCATATAAATTATATTTTGTGGTTTACTTCTAGTATTTAGAGCATTCTTTCTTTTAAGACTTCTCTTTGAACATGCTATAATTTCCTAAAACAATTTTGGTGAAGGATGGATTGTGCCACAATCTGTCTAGAAAATAGCTATTTTAAGCATTTTCCATATGTGAAAAATTATACAAGGACCATCTCTTACCACTGCATTCATTCCCTTAAGTGTTTTTTTTTCCCTTCATTTTAAAACGGTACAGGTTTTTCAACATAACCAGTGTCCATATGTTTCAAAAAGGCAACTTCACCTTAGCGGAGGTGAAGGATTTCTTGAGTATTTTGGCACACTTCTCCCTCTTTAGGTGGAAATAAATAAAAAGGAATGGAGTAACTATTTGGTTTTGCCTCTATTACTGAAAAAATATTCAAATTTATAGGTGGGTTTTATCTGGAGCAAATATTCCCTTTATAAAACTTGAGTTTAACTTGTAGGTGGCCTTCTAAAATATACTTTAATTCATATACTGTGCTCATGCTTTGGCTTTATGCCCAACCTCCCAGGTTGCAAACATCAACAGTAGACCCACTGTTAAAGAAAATAAACCAAAAAAAGAAAAAAGAATCTCTAGAAAATACTGTGCGTGTTAGTGATAAATTGCTCAATAACATTCACATTGGAGCAGTAATAACTTACAATGTTAATAGCAGCAGTCCTTAAAAATCGTCCCACTATTTATTAAGACATTTAATCTTTCCCATGTTCCAAATGAGACATGTCATTGATTTCTATTCTTATAAGAGAGGGGTGTTAGGGATATTCTGTTTGTTTGACTTATTCTGCTCAATTTAGGGGTTAAAAAATAAGGGCAAAATACCTATATGCATAGTGTCAACTAGAACCAACTTTCTGTCATGTATGAGGAAAATTTTGATTTTGGAAGCCAGTTGTATAATTTTAAAAAGTTGTCAAGCTAAAATATAATATACTGAATGCAAAATGACTTAATCCTGACAAATTCCTCTAAAATTCAAAATACAAGTAATTTAGATGTTACATGCAAGATGGTTGGATCTTGGGAAGAAATACGTGATTTACTTAGGCAAGAATGAAATAGGAAGAAAAGACAGGATGGGGCAAAAGGAGGAGGAAAGATAGGGATAGAGGGAAGTATTCTAGGCAAGAGGCACACACTCCAGGATTGAAGGAGAAACACAAGAGGCATAATGAAGAAACCATGTTGCAACAGAAGGTTTATATAAGGCAGTGATTTTCAAATTATATTCTGATGAGGGGCTGGCCAGCAAGGGGGTAAGGCAGCCAGCATTGAAGTCTTTTAGTAGGGCTGTGCTGTGCAGGTACCTTAAAAAGACTGATCTGACGTTGCACACAGAGAAAGGTGTTGGGAAACTATCCAGTACGTCAGTGAGATGGCATGAGCCCAAATGTTTTATTGCACACAAGACTGAAAAGAAAGAGGAGGATGGACACATGTATTCTCACCAATGAAGAACCAGCAGGTCTGGGTTATAGATTGGATGGATGCTGTACCAGGGGAAGGAGGTGACAAAAACTCATCCAGTGATAGAAATGAAGAATCTGCATTGAATTTAAATCTGGTGGAACTGGATTGTGTGGGAATATGGAAGATAGTACCTTGATTGTGTCCAGGTTGTAAAGAGAAATACAAAGTGGATTAAAATTAACTTAAATATGTAGAATACAACTGTGGTGGCTAATTTATGGGATTATTTAGTGTCTGCTATAAGGAAGAACACATAGCAGACCTGGGAGTCAAGTTTTTGTTTAAGCCTTGTGTCGTTTTCTCAGAAGTATCTGAACTAGAAAGGTCCTATGCTGGTGGGGGCAATGAAAGTAAATTGAAAGCCTTGGGCTGTGTGACACATCTAAAGATCCCATAACCAGGGACTACGAGTTGGTGAAGTGGCATTCCCAGCAAGTAGGGAAGCATGTTAATGACGCAGCTTCTAGTTAGTAAGGGTAAAATCTTCAGCAGGAGGCTTGGTATTCTTCCCCTGGCCAGGTGAGGTAAAGCCACAAATCCAAGGATAAGAAGTCACTAGTAATTTACTGTTCTCATCCTTCACCCCCCCAAAAAAAAACTATAAATAAACTAAAAATAGAAATAAAAATGTTTTCTTAGTGTATGAAAGACTTATCTCAGCCAGGCATAACATCAGTGTCTATAATCCCAGCACTCACCATGCCCAACTACAGAAATATATTGTTACTTTTCAAGGTGGACTTAGTGCATGAACTACATCACATAAATTTATAGTTATGGGTTTCCTAAGTATTTCTTTTTCTTTTTTTTTTTGGCAGTACTGGGGGCTTGACCTCATGGCCTCATGCTTGCTAGGCATGTGCTTTAGGCAGATGCTCTACCACTTGAGCCACTCCACCAGACTGTTTCATTTTCTGTTAGGTTAAATTATTTTGGAGGTACTGGAGGTTACTCTCAGGACCTGCTGTTAGGTAGGCAAGCTCTCTCCCACTGAGCCACACTCTCAGTCCTTTTGCTTTTAGTTTTCTTCTTAGCTAGGGTCTTGTGCTTTTGACCTCCCAGCCTTGGTCTACTCTCCTCCTACCTCCGCCTCCCAGCCTTAGTCCACTCTCCTCCTACCTCTGCCTCCCAAGCATCTGGGGTTACATGTGTTCACCACCATGCCCAGCAGGTTAAATTTTCTTGAGCTGTTAAAAACATTGTTGTCTTTCATTAATTTTCTCCTATTTTCTTTTTAGGCTGGTGTTTGGAATGCTTTATCCTGCATATTATTCATATAAAGCTGTGAAAACAAAAAACGTGAAGGAGTATGTAAGTATAGTTTTACGAGTGATTAATTCTCATTTAATGTGTCAATATCCAACACTAGAAAACCTGCTGTTCTTTTACAAACAGCTGGATTAGTGTTTTGGGTTGAAGTGTAGTATAAATGTGAAGTAATGAGATTAATCATTTTTAGAAACTAACTTTGAAGACAACTCCAAAATGTAGGTTTTAAAATAGTTCACTGTCCATTGACATCTAAAGAAGGGCCTGGTTCCCAAGATGAGTAGTCTATAAGTTCCAGTATGATGAGAGTTTGGGGGACTTTTTGTTTGTTTGACTTTTGGAGGAAGTTTGTGGTTCTTCTAGCCTTATAAATGTATGGGTCCCCTGAGAATATTCTCTTTGCACAAAGGCATTTTCTTCTTCCATAAGTCTTTAGTACTTTATAATTGATGAATATACAGATACTTCATCACTACTGAAAACTGCCATTTTTGTTCTTCTTGAATCAGACTCTTTTTATAATGATTTTGTTTTGAATCTGCAATTTTTTTTCTCTTTTAGTTTATTCTTCTGTATCCCCCCCTTTTTTGTTGCACTCATTGTTCTATTGTTTCTGTAAGTTTTCTACTTTCCCAATTTTATCTATACCATTTCATAAGACGTGTCCTTCCTTATGTATGAATCCTTGCATAGGAAATATATTTTTTATTTTTTTGACACAGAATCTCACAGTGTAGCCCAAGCGGTACTGGGGTTTGAACTTAGAGCTTCACGCTTACTAATCAGGCACTTTACCACTTGAGTTACTCCACTAGCCTCTGTGTGTGTGTGTGTGTGTGTGTGTTGCATATTTTTGAGATAGGGTCTCTCAAACTATTGCCCACGCTGGCTTTGAGCCATAGTCCTCCTGATCTCTGCCTCCTCAGTAGCTAGAATTACTGGTATAAGTCACCAATGAGGGGCAACCTTGAACTCTTGATCCTCCTGCTTCAGTGTTCAGGGTGCTGGGATTGCAGGGGTGCATCACCACACCCAGCTCATAAAAGCCTATTTTTTTGGTAATTCATCAATAGGGGTAAGCATTCAGTACTGAGATAACTCACACCAATTACTGTGGCTTTCCAAGTGAACAGTTCAGTGCCATTTAGGTACATTTCAATATTATTCAACACAACCTCTTTCTAGCTACCTATCACTCTGAAATAAAATCCATGCATATGAAGCAGTTACTCCTCACTCATCCCTCCCTAGCTGCTGGTAGCAACCAATCTACTTTCTGTTTGTATGGATTTCCTTATTCACACGTAAATGGAATCATATAATATGTAACCTTTGTGTCTGGCTTCTTTCACTTAGCATGTTTTCAAAGTTTATCCATGTTTTAGCATGTATCATATATCATCCCTCTTTATGGCTGAACAATATTCCATTGTATTGATAAACAAAAGCCACTGTTGATTATTCTTCTGTTGACAGACATTTGAATTTTTCTATCTTTTGGCTATTAAGAATAGTGCTGCTACAAATGTTCATGTATAAGAATTTTTTTAAGTACCTATTTTTTTTATTATTATTTTATTATTATTTTAAAGTATATAGCCATGGTTCTGTGTAAGGGATTTTGGATGGTAGTCTTGTCATCCAGCTCATCAAATAATCAGAAATCAGATCATGATTCTTTATTCTATACTTTGGGGGTTGAACTCTTTTAATTAACCCATTCTGTTGAACTTTTATAGTCATTTTCTCTCTTTTATATAAAGCTAATTTTGTAATGAAATATACACACACAAATCAGTATACAGTTAGCAGAAGTAAAGAAGTTACTTCATTGAACTTCGAAGTTTTTCTAGCCTTTTGTTATGTAGATCTCTTGGATTTAAGATTGGGGAAATAGTCTTAAGAGATGGAAATACATTAAGTCCTAGTAATTTAAATTCATCTTTTATGAGGTTTAAAGGCATTTATTTTAATATATTGTAATAAATAGTCCAAATATTGCTTTATAGTACTGACATCTGTAACTTTTTAGAAGCCAATACTTATCTTCTGTTAATAGTGCTTCTCAAGTTCCCTGTGCTGAAGGACATGTTTTGTTTTTTGTTTGTTTTGTTTTGTTTCTCCAAGAAGCTATTGTCCATTAGTTTTATAAAATAAAATGAAAGTTTACCAACTAGAAGAAATGAAGTGGAAAAATCTCAGAAATTAAATGAAAAGATCCCAGACATGAAATATAACCCAATTTTTTATTTCTGGTCTCCATACAAATGAAATTGCTATCAATTTGTGTTCTTTTATCAGCACAGTAACACTGTATCATAGCTTTGCACAATTCCCTGAACAGGTCAAAGGCAGGAACCACCACATTTGTTGAGAAGGGTTCTCACCAACCCGTCTTTTTGTCCAGGTGACTTCAAACCACAATCTTCTTGACCTAGACCTCCTGAGTGACTATGATTACATGTGTGAGCCACAAACAGGCATGAGTCCCTAAGTTCAAACCCCAATGCTGCAAAAGAAAAAAAAATTATTGAGCTGGTAGAGTGGCTCAAGCTGTAAGAGCGTCTGCCTAGCAAACAGGCATGAGCCACAGTACCCAGTCTACTGTCACAGATTTAAAACAACAAAAATTTACTCTCAATAGTCCTAGAAGTCAGAAATCTAAAATGAGTCCCCAGGGCTGCATTCCTTCTGGAGCTTCTAAGGAAAAATCTGTCTCTGCCTCATCAGCTTCTGCAGGCTGCCCACATTCCTCAGCTTATGACTCCATTCCCTCATCTCCAATGTCAACAGTTTTGAACTAAGACCTTTGTACACTGCCAGCTCTCTGGTTCCTTCATTTCTGGCTCTCTCTTGCTCTTAGCAGTGATTACTTGATTAATCCAAGATAATCTCCCCATCTCAAGGTTATCTGATTAGCAGCCTTACTGACATCTGCCACCTTATTTTTCCATTTGCATGTAAGCTAATACATTCTGTTTCCAGGGGTTAGGATAAGGATATTTTCAGGGCAAGGAGGCATTATTGTTCCTACCCCAGTAATATCCTGCTCATCGTTACTGCAACCCTATCAAATAGGCAAGGAAAATATTCCAATAGTACAAGCTCAGAGAAGTGAATTAACCTGCCCAGAGTCACAAAGCTAGTGATACATAGCTATAAGTACATGTGTGTTACCTTCTAAATAAATTCTTCTCGAACTAACCTTTTCCTAGTTCCTGGTCCCTTTCTCCTATTGGCCTCTGTCACTTTACAGTTACTAGCATTTAGCCTTTGCATTGAGGACATCAAATGCTGTCTTGGTTTTTTGGGGGGGTTTCTTGCCTATCCTCATACCTTCCCTTGGTGCTTTTGCCTTATCATGTGATCAAAGTCCAATCCCTTGTTCTCATGTCGCATATGAGGGAGAACATACGATTTTTTGGTCTTGCGGGCCTGGCTAACCTCGCTCAGGATGATGTTCTCCAGTTCCATCCTTTACCTGCAAATGATAACATTTCGTTCTTCATGCTGGCATAAAATTCCATTGTGTATAAATACCACATTTTTCTTGATTCAATTCGTCAGTAGTTAGGGCATTCTTGGCAGTTTCGCCATAACTTGGCTATTTGAATAGTGCTGCAATAAACATGGGTCGTGGAGGTGCTCTGGAGTAACCTGTGTCAAATTCCTTTGGGTATATCCCCAAGAGTGGTATTGCTGGATCATATGGCAGATCTATGTTTAGATTTTTAAGAAGTCTCCAAATTTTTTTCCAGAATGGTTATACTAGCTTGCATTCCCACCAGCAGTGTAGGAGGGTTCCTTTTTCCACACATCCTTGCCAACACCTGTTGCTGGTGGTGGTTCTAATGATAGCTATTCTAACAGGGGTGAGGTAGAGTCTTAGTGTGGTTTTGATTTGCATTTCCTTAATGGCTAGAGATGGTGAGCATTTTTTCATATGTTCTTTGGCCATTTCAATTTCTTCTTTTGAGAAAGTTCTGTTTAGTTCACTTGCCCATTTCTTTATTGGTTCATTAATTTTGATCAAGGTTTAAGGCCAGCCTAGGCTGCATAGTAAGATCCTGTCTCAAAAAAGAACAACAAAAAATGGCTCTGTTATATTTTTAGTAGCTCTTTATACTGTCTGATATTATATCCCTTATTTGTTTATATGTTTGTCTCTCCTACCAGAATAAGGTCCATAGGAAAGGGTTTTGTTGTTTTAAACTGTTAAAATTCCCAGACCTAGAACAGTATGTGAATGAGTGGACAAATATGAAAAGAGAGAAAAGTTGACTTTTAAGTATGTGTAAAACATTGAATTGTGCTAGCAAGAGCTTATACATTTTATAAGGGGACTGATCTAGTTTCTCAGCTTTGTTCTTCTGGGTTAGGGAATGCATAGTCCTGTCTAAAGGCTTTTTCTAAAGCCTAGAATTTTTGTGGTATTTGGTTAGACCTAAATTCTGCTGATAGCTACTTCAAAACTATTTTCTAAAAGCAACATTTTTGGTTAATTTACTTCTTCCCACCCTAAATACTACTATTCCTCTAAGCCTACAAATGGTAGATTGCACCTGATAAAACAGATGCTATGTTCAAATCAAAACAAATGGAAAGTACTGTGTATTTTGGCAACTTTCCTTTCTTCTTTGCCTATTTTTAAAACAGAGCTTTCCTAGGATATAATTTCCTGTATAGTGTGGCTAATATGGCCTACTTAAAGACTTTCAGTTGCAGTAATTGAAATGTAAACTTACTGAAGAATTAGTATGGTTTTGCAAAATTTTTCAGGCTCCTACCATCTTATGACTTGAAAATAGAGTGTTTACTTCCAAGTCATGTGTAATTGCTGTAGCTTTTCTAGGAAACCAGTGTTCATATTCTAAGAATGTTGGAGAAAGCAGCAATGAAAAATTGGCTAACAGGATTTAAAACCAGACATTTTTTTCCTGAGATTTCTTAAAAGCAAGAACAAAGAACAGGGAAAACTCCTCCAGGAGATTAGCTACTGCTTTTAAAGGCCCAGAAATAGCCCTCTAAAACTCTATTGAGTT